AGTACAGCTGTTATGCTCACAAAAGAGAACTGCAATCTTGCAAGTACCTAAAACGAATTCAGATGACTGCAGTTATTTCGATGAATATTATTGCAAACGCGTTGATATCAAGGGAGGGTAGAGTCCACCTTATCCTGCCATTGACGGTCCTCTACAACCATATGGTACGGAATTCTGGTGAACGTTACCATTGAATATCGTGGGATCCATATCTTAGGAAATAGCCAATTCAAGATCAAGTCGAGCTTTTTCCGAAGTTTATACGATGGATGGTTGACCAGATCTTTCAACTGAAAAGTACGACTATCATTTTCAGTTAGTGCACAGGAGGTAAAGGGCCCTCTTAGACCCGAGCGATTGCGTTCATACACTCCGTATCCCAAGGCGAGAAGCTCTTGATTGCGGACCCAGTGGCGCGCGTGACGGTGGTATCGAGGATTTCTCTCCTTCGTGGTACTTCGTCAAGCTCCAGTTTAGTTAGTTGAATGTCACTGGATTAAACAGCGTGCCTTTCCGTGCAGGAAACCACCTTTTTACGGGCCACTGCTATGCCCTGCACTAAGTACGCAATTACGACTCCATCCATCTCCTTGATACAGAGTGTATCAAGCACCGTAACTGCGGGGTACATAATATAGCCGCTTCATGGAGCATAATTCCGTACCTCTTCGTAATTGTACATGGCTAAATCGATGATTGTATGAGCGTCCTTGACACGGTTTTTAGAATACATTGCAAGAGTTTTGGCTGAAAACAAGAGAACTATATATACAGGTATAACCTAACCAGCTAAGCTAGGAGTAGCGGCAAAAAGTGCTGTAGAGTTGATCCAGCCTTCAAGAGATTATGGTAGGTGAAGGCAGAAGACCACGATTGCCTTCGTCACTGAGAAGGGCACCCATAACCGCACCACTCCTGCATTATTCCCCTTCAGTCTAGTAAGATAACATGCTACTACCATGACATAAGACACTAGTAGGCTTTTGAGCATAGTTCAGATCGATATTCGGCTATGAAACCTTACTTCTTACCGGTAGGCGAAACCCCACGAATCAAATCTGTGAGTAGGCCTGGCAACACATTGTATTAGATTGGGCACTTTTCAGTGTTTGTCTCCTAAGTACACTATAGTTCTCTGCGGACGGTTGGGCGTGTCAGCCAGTATGAGTGTGTCACCCTATCAAAGCCGTTCTCTGCCTTCTTGTTGAAGAGCGTCTGCGACAAAAAGTGGTAGAAGACTAGTAATACGAAGGATATGATACAGTATTGTCACTTGCCCGCTTCAACAACTGGTGTAGAACGAGTTTGGCACCGCGCCAAGCGCAGCCGCACGGACACGCCCAACCGTCCGCAGCGAACTACACTATATATGTTCGCCGTTTATCAATCCTTGTGGAATGCGGCACCCATTCTACTTCCATTCAGAATCGTAGTGGCTTATTGAATGCGATGTGGCCTATACAATGACTTGCGGGGGCCAGCCGATGTACAAGTCAGTGTTTTATCCTCCCAGACGAATCTGGTACCAATTCACTTCTACCCTGGAGGGTAGAAGGCTCAGTCGGCTTTGGGCAGGAACCGATTCGGAGTGTGACCCCCGGAGCGCGATGGTAAGCGCGCCGCTTGCCATACACTACCTCCGCCTCTTGTCCCCTAGGTTATTAAAATTTTCATTTCATTTCAATAGCAGTGTCTACGATATGGCAACCTTAGACAATTAGTGGATCCCCTTATTGCAGCTCTGGAACTTGCTATCAAAGAGCGAGTGAAAGTTTATTTTGAGTTATCTTTATCAAAGAAATGACAACCTTTCAGATGATGAGCCACCTGAGAAAAAGTGATAGTTGGGCTGGTCGACGTCAGGGCTCTTTGATGGATAGGGAAAAACCGTCTAGTCAAGACAGAGGAAAAAATGCTTCTCCCTGTTCCCCTCTAAGCTTAGCTGCCAGCCAGTCCAGCTGTGCGCGGTACATCTTTACATTAGCTGTAAAGCCGTATTCATTGGAAGAATCCCTTGATATTTCGGCAGCAACATGACAGAAGCTGTGAGCGCCGGCTGAGGCGTTGGGAATCCCTTTTTACTCGGCTAGAAACATTGTCGCTTGCCCGAGTAGTTGACATGAACGTCCCACTTCTTGTCTTCTCTTAGCCATCCAGTCTGATCCACTGAGCTGACATTTCGACTAATTGAGTTCCTGAAGCTCAGTCTTCAAAATGTTTCAGAAATTATTGGCCAACCTAATAGGTGAAGCGAGTCTGACTTCAAAGATTAAATTCATGCTCAGTTATAAGGAAGATTGATGTGTGATGCCACTCAAGCAGGGCTCGCCATCGTTGTGATGATCACAACAGGGGGGGGGGGTCGTAAGCGCGGGGACCTTTCTGAAGTGAGGGTGCAGCGATACCCAGATGTCGTTCAGCTTCAATGATGAAAGACTTATCCATGTGAAGAACCCCTGAAGAGACCCACACAAGACAGAAGCAACCTGCCAGCGCAGAAGTGGGGAACGGGCGATGACAGGAATGGCCGCCCACAACGACGTCATGAATTAATAAACAGATGAAAATACACTTCCGGACCTTTCTATCGCAGAAGCACATCTACTTGCACGGAGGAAGCCCTTTCTAGAAGTTGCACCTTCCCAATAGCTCTGCGTGAAAGCGCTATGCATGGCGCATTGCAGAGGTGATGCCAATTGGCGCCCAATGAACTATTTCCTGGCAAAAACATGCGTTTTAGAAGC